GATTTGAGCATGTCTAAGGTGTGGTGGATCACCAACCATTTCCCCTTGGATTATGGGGGCTTTGTTCTGTTCCATCTCTTTGTCTTACAGATGAGGGGCCTGGGTACCCTGAAAACAACTGGTCTGACTATTTGTTTCCCCTCATGCAATAAAGGGTGGGTATTCTCCTTGGCCTGCCTTTGTTCTTAATATATTTAAAGAAACACTTTTTTTAAATTATTTTTTACAACAGTAGGTAGATTAAGTTCTAGTTGGGCTTTGCCCTTCTGATTTTTTTCCAGCATAAACTCATGATGTTCTTGTGGTCCTCCTGAATGGGCTTCCTGTTTTTTCAAAGGTTATGAACTCCTGGGTTTTTTCTGGAGTTCAACTCTGTTCAGCCAGGCTGATCTTCTTTCCTGCTAGCTCAGCTTTCAGTACATGGGAAAAGCTTGCTCCTGCAAGCTTTTTCTGTAAGAATATCCAATGTTCTTGGGCTCATTTGCCCATCAAAATTGCCTCCGAAGGGATTCTCTCAACCAGTTCTCCTAAAGAGGTCAGTCTGCCCTCCAGAAGTCCAGGGTACAAGTTCTCCTTGACAGCCCTCCTTACTTCTCTGAGAATCAAAAACTGTCATTTTCTGATCACTGTGCCCAAGACAGCCTCCAGCCATCCTATCACACCAACCATGAGTCCTTCTCTGTTGACAAACAACAAGTCCAGTGGGGTGCCCTTCCTTGATGGCATCTTGACCAACTGTGTCAGGACATTATATTTCACACACTCCAGCTGTCTCCTCGACTGTTTCCTCTTTACTCTGTTGCTTTTCCAGCATCTGGTAAGTTGAAGTCCCCTACAAGAACAATGGCTAGTGATTGTGAGACTTCTCCCAGCTGCTTTCATACTATTTCATCCTCTTTTTCTTCCTGGTTGGCCTGGGTGGTCTATGACACCAACCATGGTATCTGTTTTTTAAGTAAAAACTTGAAAAGATGAATGAAAACAAAGAAGAAAATATGCAGAAGAATTCATTAATAAACAATGATTTTGTGATTACCAATACTGGCAGATGTGGAAGCAATTTATCTGACATATCTAGCAAATTCTTCGCAATTATTCTTTTCAATATGCTTGAATTTGACATCATGTTAGATATGATTTTTTTTAATAGTGTGGGGTGAATTTGGGGAAAGAATTATTTACTCATCAGTTCATTTACTCATCAGAATCATTTACTCTTCAGTTCAACTTCCATCAGAACTGACAGTACAGTAAAAAAATCACATTAATCATTTTTACAAGGACTGTCTTGCAATTAATAGCATACAGGCCCCTTATGTACCTACAAGGTAGCTTCTTTAATTTACATGGTCCAAGAAAACACTTGTATTTAAACATGAATAGAATGATCAGCAAAACGTAGTCTATAGTGTGCTGCAGTTTTCTTGGTTTTATTCAGCAGTTCTGAAGGAGAACCGGTCAGTCTGACTGCTCACCCTTAGATATTTTGCTAGTCTAATGGCAGTTCTGAAAGGAAAATGACAGAGATGTTTTTCAGTGAGACTTGTGGTAGTGGGGTGTTGAACTGTTAGTAGGGAGAGAGAAGGGTAGATGCAATTGAATGGAAGGACAAGGGGTGATGGTCTGTTTCCAAATCTCTGAGTCTGTGTTTTGAGCTCTCTCACTTTTTAAAAAATTGCAAATAACAAGGCGACAAGTTGCAAATGCCATCTCACATTGACACTGTCTTTATTTTTAGTCTGGAAATTGTCCAGCTTTGAAAGAGAAGACAAGGTATTTCAGAAGAGCACCATCCTACCTTGTTCACTTAACATTCTGTAAGGGTTTGGTTTTTTTTGTAATTATCTCTATGCCTTGTATGCTTTTGCATTTCAAGCCCCTTTGGCTAGTGAATCTACAAATAAACAAAAGCTGCTATCTGAAACCAGAGGTTCCTGAATGCCTCACAGACGTGTTTTCATTACTGCTGTCACACTGTGCAGTTGCCAAAGTCTGTTGTGACAAATCATAGCTCTGAAGGTAGATTAGCAGACATTTATCATCTTTGTGACAAAGAAAATGCAAATGTATCTTAACTGATTGTTTGTTTCACTGAATGCTATGCTCCTAAGGTGCATCACTTAAATCTGCTTCTGGTTTCTCCTTCCCCATAATTTTCCAGAACAAGCATGAACTGAGAGTGTGCATAAAGATGTAATTATGCATTCTTTCTTCCCCTACCTACTTCTGATGGGGTTTATCACATAAGATGAAAAATAACTGGAAAATATTGTAGCTGATGTTTGTCATTCTTTCAACTGATATTTACACTGTTCTCTCACATATAGAGGAATATGTGCAGTACTAAAAGGCTCCTGCTCTTTATTAGGTGTTGTTCTTCCATATATTCTTACATAGTTACAGAAAAAGAAAGGCTGAAGGCATGCATCCTGTTGTTCTGTGTGCAGAGACTGACCCTTATGGTGAGAGAGTTTATTTTATGATCTTGAGCCAACCTCAACAAAGTTTTGTCTCTTGCTGGTATTGGGTTGCAGAATCTGTTTTTGGGAGACACTTACCACTCGTGATCATCAACCCTGAGGTTTATATCAGTGTGTTTTTTAACCTTTTTAAAAAATGTTCAGATGCCACACAATTTATCTGTAGAGGTGTAAAAAATGTACATATTCACAATATGTTTACACCTTGTAGACACCTTTTGTGACCCTTCAGGAAGCAATGGCATGGAGTCCCACTGTCCTGTGCGGATTACAAGTTTATGTCCACTGCTTTGGCTATGATGACTGAAGAAATAGCATACATGAATAGTAGATGAGATGTAAAAACTTCAACTTGCTTGAAAAATTTGTATTTAGGAAAGTTAAACGTGTTATTTTTAGAATGAATATTCTACTCAAGTCAACACAGTTTTCACAGGCTTTTCACCTGCACATGCAGATTTATCGAGAGAGGAACATAGTTTGGTGTATCAAATTATTTTCTACAAATGAGGATGAGTCATATAATTTACAAACACACTAACAGCAAACAGCCCACTGTATCGAACCAATTCATTGCCAGAAGCAGACTTGATACTGTGTCATGTGGGAAAATAGCATTTGCATTTCTCTTAAAACAAAAGATGAAGTCTTCCTACTTAAAACTTAGTAGTAATTCTGCTTTTAATTTTTTTTGGAATTCCGTCTGTGCCTGCCACCATCCATTGCACCAATAGGTGGGCAACAAAGAAGCAGTCTGCTTTCAAACTTACAATTCAAAAATGTTGAAAACCAAATTCTGTTCCTTCCATGGATTTTTTTTTCTTTTTTTTATTATTAAAAGGGCATTCTTCTTTACAGCGGTTGGTGATATAGTGGGTTTTTTTTTTAATACGAACATTTGATAATTCATATTGATGAAGTATGTAAAAGAAGTATCTGAAAGATCATCACAAGAGAGTGATGGAAGACATCAGAGATGCTCCTATACTCCCTTGCCCAAGTCTTTGAGAGGTGGTTTATGCTTCTGTTCAGTATACTAGATACCATATTAGTTTTATAACAGAAAATTACTGTAGTAGATTCCACTATCTGAAGGGAGCCTACAAGAAAAATGGAGAGAGACTTTTTACAAGGGCATGTAAAGACAGGACAAGGGGTAATAGTTTTAAATGAACAGACAGTAATTTAGGTTGGATATTAGGAAGAAGTTTTTTCCTGTGGGGGTGGTGAGGGGCTGGGACAGATTTCCCAGGAAGTTGTTGATGCCCCATTCCTTGAAACGTTCAAGACAAGGTTGAATGGGCCTCTGAGCAACTTGGCCTAGTTAAAGGTGTCCCTACCCACAGCAGGGGTTTGGAAACAGATAATCTGTAAGATCCCTTCCAACTCAAGGCATTCTATGATTCTATGAAAAGCTGTATGAGAAAATAACAGTTCCCTAAACAAGCATAACAGCTCAATCCAATGTTTCATCAGAGCACCCAAAGATATCTTAAAATAAACTATGTGGTTATAGCACTGGATTTTCTTAGTCGTGAAACACCGTTTCTGTATTGGTGTTTTCATTATTAGTATTTGTTTAAGCTGTTTTGAGGTTTGTTCTTTGCTTTCAGTTTGGCAGCTCCCAGCTGACATCATATATATGCATTTATCTTTAAAATTCACATAAAAATTCAAACCATGCTGTATCCTGCTCTGAAGTATATAGTCTAGTATGTGAGAAGGTATTTTCATCATCAGGAAAAATAAAATTACAAGGACTTATCCTATTCTGGAATATTTGACAGTTTGCATTGGTAACAAGCAGGTAAAGATAGTAAAAGATGATTTGGAAACTGGTACAAAAAGTGAAACATATTTTGAGTTACTTCAAGTTTTGTAACACAAAGTTCAATTTTTTTTTTTTTTGGTCCACTGACCTTCAGAGAATGTTTATTTTACCATGTGAAAATTGAATATTATATGAATGTATAGGCTTTTTGTAAAAAACTAAGTAAAAATCCAACCTGGGCTTAGCCAGTCATGAAGTGCAACTGAATAGAAAATGCTTTTAAATATGTATGAAAAAACATTGACATTTAGTTACTACCGGATTATCTAAAGCATGGGAGGTAAGACTTAGAGAAATACCAGTTATTCTTTGGGAAAATTATTCTTACTTTTCCATTAATAACAATGTATTTTGCACCTGTCAGTAGACTGCCTTGATTTTGTAATGGTGGAATTCAGGACTGTGTGATGGTTTCTGTTCCAGTGACTGGCACACTGATAACTCCCTTGAAACACTGAATGCAACAAATAGTATGTAGAATTTTCAAGGAAATATTTTACTAAATTTGTGTCCAAACTGGTGGAAGTTTCCTCTAATGTTGCCCAACACATGGTGCAATTTGAGAAAAAACACTTGTGCCAGAGAAGCTGCTTTTGTTCAGCTTTTAAATGACTGCAGCCATGGGCTTGTTCAAACTTCAGCTAGTTGTTACTTTTCTTGCTTCATCCACAATCTGTATCTCCTTTTAGGATCGGTGGAGCACTGCCAACTGTCTTCTCCTATTTTTCGGAAGTGCTTGCTCGGGAGAAACGAGGTGAACACCTGAGCTGGCTCTGTATGTTTTGGATGATTGGTGGCATTTACGCTTCTGCAATGGCTTGGGCAATAATTCCTCATTATGGTAAGAAAAACCTTGTGATTTGTAGCTGTTCTAGTATGAAAGTAAAGTTCTTGAAGTATATCTTAAGACGGAGTACTCATGTCTGGTCTCAAACTACTGACCCCACTTTCAGTGGATATAGTGAAAATAAGTTGTACCCTAAATAAAAAATAATTTATTAAAAAACCCCAAAATTAGCCAATATCCATGTTTAGTCAGATTCTTTAAATTATCAAAAACCTGAACACATGAAAATATGATTGGTTTTACTGTTGAATCTGGGGAAAATAGATGATGTGGAGACTTGCATCACAAAGAATAAATTTTAAATTGCTGGGTGTCAAATTGGTACAGAGGTAAATTGTCAATTATACATTCTTGAGAAGAAGAGTGAGAACTTTCTTGATGTATGCAGTGCTGAAATCTGAAATTAGTCTGAAAAGAAAACTGTGCAGAATGTTACTTAGTAGATCTTTCTAGTAGTGTAAGAAAAGATTTATGGATCAGAGTGCACTTAAATGCAGTAAGGATGCATAAGGGCAATGGCTGAACTCATACATACACACAATATAAGCTACTTTGTGAAAGAGCTCTTTAACTACCCTGACATGGTTAAACATTATATGGATATACAGATTCAATTCTGAGTCTCTTGGGCTTGCCTTTCAGAAGAGTTAAGTGCTCACAGGTCTCCAGTGTCGCTGAGACTGCTCAGGGGTTTTTAAAAATCAGCCTCTCAAGTACTTGTCCATGGCAGTCCTCAAGTGAAGTAAAGCAGCGCAGTGAGTTAGCTGGCATCCAAAGCAGCTTTCTTTAGCCAAGCAGTGAGGTTTATCACAGTTAGATTGTGAAAGAGAGGACAACTTCATAAGGTTTGCCCAAAGTGATTTAAACATTTAGCAAGTGATAATGTCCAGAAATAAATTACAATTATGTGGACTAATCAAATACTTAGACTGTTGCATTAAAATTAATTTTAGAGTCCAGTACACTCAACCTGAATCTATGTCTTCAACCTTGCCTTTTGACTTTGAGTAGCTGGAATCAAAGAGTGGAATTTTTGCTGAGAAGGCACGATGTGGATTTTTTTTTTCCAATTAGTAAATTGCTCTGGGCACCAATTACGTTTTTGCTTTCCTGCGGACTTTTAGTTTCTTTTATCTTTCAGTTGAAAATGCATTATGACAGACTGATTTACATGTGTTGTCTAAATATAAAATTGTAGATTTTATAAATAACTCAATATCCTTTACTGAGGTGCCTTTAAAACACCACATGGCAGTAGATCTCGATGAATAATAATACACTTCCTTCTACCAAAGCAGTGGTCCTAGAGAGAAAATTTTTTTCTTTCTTTAGCAGTGGACGAATATCAACAACAAAAAGCAATGCTGCACAGATTTTTTTTTTGGTGTTGTTTTTTTCCTCAGGCAAAAATATTTGTTCAGTAACATAAGAGAAAAGCTAAAACCTGCTTCTAAACCTCATTTATATAGTGCATAGGGATTTCTGAACTCTGCTTCTCGTTTGAGGAGTAAGTTGTATTGATTTTTCTCAGCTGGCCTCAGAAGTTACTCGACAACAGTGAATGAAGTTGCATCTGTTGAACAGAGGTAAACTATCATTGAGCATAGTGGAATTATTCTTAATAGGTCAACACAGTAGAATAATTTCAAATATCCTTTTTTTCCCTCTTTTACAAATAGATTCCTTTCATATTTACTGTTTCTTATATAAATTACTTTAAAACGACCTAGATTCAAAAGTATATATTATCTAGCCCAAGGCAGTCATGGAAGCTATGTATGGATGTTATGGAAGCTATGTTTACCAGTTGAACATTTAGCTGCATCTTTCAGTCAGAAAACAAGTACTACATTCTCTGTATGTAACGTTTCACCTCTGCTGTTAAAGCAGAGCAGGAGTGTCCGAAACATGATGAGAGAAGTGGCTCTGAAACACAAAACAAAGTGTAGCTAACAGTTGTCTTGGCATCAGCATGTTAAGTGAGGAATTAGCATGACATACTGCTGCAGTGACCACATATGGAAAGGCTAATATTATCTGCAGGACAAGCATCACTATAGTAGGGCTTTTGGATTTATATATCTGTTGGATGTTGTTTAAAAATTGAAAACAGATATAGATTTGTTCAGGGTCTCCTAAACCGGAGCTCAGGCCATGGAGAAGCTATTAGGAGAAATGTCTGCAGAGAAATGCTTCTAATTGCAACTAATTAAAAAGCCCAGATTAGGCTGCTACAAAGAAATTGCTTTATACTTATATCAGGCTGGATAGGGAGAATAATAATCATTTTATAAACATTTTTGCAAATGCAACTTTAAATTTAGCATTGTGTTTCAAGGTAGATTAGTTCAAAGACTGACAAATGCATCAACTTGGTATTACGATAGTCTTTAAAATGTTCATTTTTCAAATAATGAAGAACCCTAGGATTCAGAAATTTCCATTTAAACTCTAGACAGTGATATCTTACAATTTTTTTATCCCAAGTTTATGTGGTAGTCTGAGAATAGATATCAAAAAGAATTATGAAAGTTGTTTTATCAGTTAAAAATAAACAAACAAAAGTTGTGTGACATACACATGTATTTTTGTAAAAATCAGTCTCAATTTTTATTGTAGCATATCTCCAAACTAAACATTGCGGGAAGCTGGGTAAGGATTTCAGTGTGCTATTAACTTCTTTTATTCTTAAATCTTATTCCTGAAAAAGAAGGGGGTACTTGGCCAAAAATAAATTAAATTGTGAGGCAGAGAACAGGACAGTGCAGGTGCCCAGGCTGTTACAGCATAAGCTGCATGTGAATTCTGAAGCTTTTTCCACACTCTAACATGTCAGTTCTGGTACGTACCAGAGGAGAGAGGAGATAGCCATGTCAAATGACTTTAGTGAACAAGTCTCCAAAGTATGAGCAGAAACAGAGACATTAATTCCATATATATGCACTGAATTCCAATTAAATTAGGTTGGATTTTTCCCTAAAGACTGCAAATTTCATAATACAAAATCAAGGAAATAGGAAATATACTTCTTTCTAACACACTCAATGTAAAAAGCAGATTTAAGTCTAAATATTTTTTCAGACCAGTGTAATCACATTGCATAACAGATCTTCATCTAAAGTATTCATTTTTCATCACTTGAGTCTTTTTTCCCACTGAATTAAGGACCACTTACTTTTGTTCATAAGAGAGGTATTTAACACAGTCCAGGAAACAAATTTGAAGTAGAAAGAAGTGGAATAAGAAACCTAAGAGAAAAGCATTCAATTTCAGAAGTGAAGATTTCTTGCCTGGCTGCAGTGTCTCTCTCTAGGTGTAAGTAGGATTGTATTAATATGTTCTCTTTTCCAGCAGATTTTTCAATTACATCAGCAAACAACTGGTGTTTTATTCTGTTACTGAAAGAGGACTAGTTACAAATGATATTTCTACTTTAGTCACTAGAATTTTTCTACTAGTCACTAGAATTTTTTGGTTTTGAGACAATAATTTCTTTACAGTAACACAGACCTTAAAAATGCAGACATAGAGGTGTCCAAAAGTTGCGCTCACAATTGACTTGCAAAATGTATTTAAAATATTAATGATAACTTCTATTTTTAAAATGTCTAGTTTTGTCTCCCGCTTTCCTCACTTTTCCCATTCTTTTCCTGGTCTGTAAAATATCTTATTTCTACTTTTCACTGAACATCTTTGCCTATTACTTTTTTCCGGTCAATGTCATTAAATGAGTTTAAAGGGCAGAAACTGGAGTTCAGTTTAGGTAAGGAAGAAATTAAGTTTTATATACAGATGTAGTATAGTACTAACATAAGCTACCAAATACATTTACAGAATCTCCATTACTGAAGGTTGTTAAGGGCACATCAATCCACAGTCTATCCTCAATAGTTTAGAACCACACTGTGTTCACTAAACCTTACACTGGAGACCTGTTCTTAATTCTGCTTTACATAAGTAGATAGTTCTTTCTGTAGGCACAGAAATTCCAGGAATAGCTTCTATTTCTATCTTACTGTAAATATGATGAGAGTGGACCAATCTGCTTTTCTTTCTAGTAGGAAGTGGCTTGCAGAGTTGCCTGAAAAACATTTCTCAGTTTGCAGCAGAAGATTGTTGAGGTGAAGCAGATCAGTTCGCCTGAAGAAAATAACTTCACTGGCAATTAAACCAATCTTTTTTAAGTAACTTTTTGGGTAGGTGGCTTGAGAATAGCTTTTGTAGTGTTTATATGTCATGTTTGCTCTGTTCTTGTGTCATCCAGCTGGAGATAAAAGAGAAAAATATATCTTCAAAACTACAGTAAAACCCTATTCTGTTTGAAATCGTCATGTACTGTACTGCAGTAAAATAAGCAAGGAGGTAAGCAGAGCTGCATGGAGGAACTATGCAAATGAGGAGATGGAGAGCTGCTGGCTCACTGTGCAACTCACAGCATGTACAGCACCAGGCAATGCTAATGGAGGAATTAATATCTCAGCCTAATGTAGATTTCACTGAGAACATGATGGCCTTAAACTGTTGAGTGGCAATGAAGTCAAAAAACCTTTTAACTGCCTTATTCTATCTTGGATTTTTTTGGTTTAGATGTTTTCTCAGTGGCATATCGCAGCAGCAGTATTAGGGCAAAAGATCCTATGCCAGTGCTATGTATTATCAGTGGGTTTATAGGTGTAGGGCATAGTGAGTACTAGTACTTGATGAGTAAGAAAAGCAGAATATCTTAGGAGCCACCCATCTTCCAGCACTACTGATGAGCAGAACTGGATCCTTTTGAGTGGTGGAAGCTCTAAGTGTGGATTTACAGAGATTTCAGTCTAGCCTGCTGGTCTCCTCCCATTATGAGCAAAGTGGAGTCAAAAGGTTGAACTCTTGTGGTGATGATTATTCCAAGACGAATGCCCTGAAAAAATTGTTTCCCAGTACATAAATGTGAAGAGTATATGTTTCAGATAATATGAGTGTAGCTTTTCATGTTTGTCAGCCTTTATTTT